CAGGGGTCCTACTTAGCAGTGGGCCAGGAGCAGCCTGATTACAGTTACTGTTGTTATTTACCCGGAGAACTGGAATCCAACGCACACTATTTTATTTCTCTGGGGAAAATTAAAATGTCCAGCAAGAAAACATCCCAGTTTCCCTTTCCTTTCTTTTCGGGTTTGGACAAATATTTCAAGGTCACTCTGAGAAGAGTGCTACTTTTTAAGAGGGAAAAAAATAATAAAAGATTTGGGGGAGTAGGGGAAAAGGTGTTCTTTCTCAAGGGTGCCTCTTCAAACGCGGCACTGAGGAATTCCGGCATCCGGAACCCGGAGCGAGCCTCCAGAGGGTCCTTTGTTCACGGAGATTCCATTTCTCTCCCCACCCCCATGCCCACCCCCTCCTCTCATTATCAAACATTTGAAGACTGAATAATTCCATTTGTTGATGTCTCTGGCCGGAGCCTCTGAAAATGCAAGAGGCCCTGCCGAAATCAAAACCCCTGGTTTTCAAGGTGGATTTATCACCCTTTAAAGGAAGATTTATTGGGTAATCGCTTTCAAAAAGTGCTCATCGCACAGGGATCTGAAAGAAAGAGTGTCTTCTCCCTTGGGCTGGGGGAAGGGCCCACTGGCCCCCCAGGGGGCAGGGAAAAGGAGCCCCAGTGGTGGCCATAACTGACTCACACTTCCCATCAATTCACAGCCAGAGAAAGGCCAACTTCCCCAGCTGAAGTCAACCTGAGGTCTTGCTCCTGACCCTTAGGACTCTTTCTTTCCCATTTTAATCGGGTTTGGAGGGTTCCATCTGGGGACTTGGGAGAGAGATTTCCTATTTTTAGTATTGTTGTGGACCTTAAAAAGGAGTCAGGGGGAGATCTCTGATCAGACCAGGAGAGATGGACGCAGGGGACCATTGTTCAAGCCAGAGAGGGCTAGGGTAGAAGTGATGTCTGCAGGGAGCGGGGTCCTGGAATCAGGCTAGGCCGGGCCTGGACGATCTCCTTTGGAGACAGTTTAAGGTGGATGCCAAACAGAGGAGGGTCCCTTCCCAAAGGTCTTTGCCCAGCCCCGTCTGACCAAGGGTTTCCCCAGGGATTCAGGTCTGAGTTGCAGTCCAGAGAGCAATGGAAGCCCCTACATACCTCAGGAAACCATGGAGATGGGGAAGGCCGTGGACAAGATGAACAAACAAGGAGAGGAAACTGCTGGGGAGAAGTCAGACAGGCAAGGGGGAAAAGGAGGGGGAGGCACAAAAAGAAAGATGGAGGAGCCCACGAGACAGCCTGGGAGCAGGGGGTACAGAGACGGACAGAAAAGTGTGCTGTGAGACAGATAGGCAGAGACAGGCAGAGAAAGGGAGGGGGAAGGAGTGGGAGGCAGAAAGAAACAGGGAGAGAGACAGAGAGAGATTGGGGTGAGACGTTGAAAGGGAAACTTCCCAGGCCACATCCAGCCCAACACACACCACCTCGCTTACAGTAGCGAGTTGATTCGCGTCTGTATGGGGAGTGAATCAGGGCAAGGCGGTTAGCAAAGGGATATGGAAGGAGGGGGAGAGATCCCCCGACTCCTCGCCAGCTGCAGCCGCCCCAGATCCCAGGTGGACCCCCCTTGCCCCTGCTGGATGTGAAATCGCCATTTCACCCCGCCACACTTCTTAATTGTTGCAAAAATCATTTGTGAAATTGGTCTCCAACAGGCGAGAACGGCCACGCTCATTCCGACAGACACCCTCCCTTCCTCCCCTCCGCCTGCCCCGCTGGAGCCCACGGAATCCCCCAGCCGTGGAAATGCTGGGTGGGAGCCGCCAACGCGGGGTTCTGGGGAGCTGGCTCAGGGGAGAGGGTCTCCCTCGCAACCGGACCCGCGGCTCCGAGTCTTCTGTAGCAACGGAGGGCCTGGACCAGGCCAAAGGTTAGATGGTCCCCGCGGGGGTCACCTGAGGTTCCTATGTCCCCGGCGGCAGCCGACCGGTGGCCCTGAACCGAGGTGTCCAGCCATGCGCTCGCCCTACTTGGCTCGGGATACGCGCCTGCGCTGGCGACCAGGTCCGCGAGGTGGGACGGAGTCGTTGGCGGCCGCGCCGGGCGCGCCCCAGAGGGCTTCTCTCGCCCGGAAATTGACCAAATCATAGGCTCGCACCTTCTTGATGGGCCTTTAGAGCTATGCTAAGGCAACAAGGAGGCAACTCCAAAACCTAAACTCAGACACCAACCCTCACTTAGAAACACAAGTACTCAGACTGGCACACAAGCCGACAGCAGACCTACACACAACCCACCTTCACCTGGACACACACAGACGTAGACATAAACCCAGAGTCACACACAAGCCCACTGACCCGTTCCACCCAGAGATACAGAGAAGTGCCTTAAATCCTTCTTTACCAGCAGTGAAATTACTGATGGATGAGTGAATGAACAATATATATAATACATGTATGTGTATATGTGTGTATATTACATACCTATGTCTGTGTGTGTATATCTGTGTTGTATATGTATATGTGTATGTGTATATAAAACACCACCTTTGGAGGTCAAGGCAGGCCAGATCCTCCAGCAAGATGAGATATAAAAAGGACTCAGGTCTAACTCATCTTCCCCAGACACGCAGACTGGGGCTTAAAACTTTATCTTCCAGTCTCTCTTGGGGGCAGTGGATACAGGATCCCAGAAATCCTTGGAGGGCCTCTATTACTCAGGCATCCTAGTCGGGGAGAGATACACTCCACTTTCCAATTCTAAAGCTACTTGGTCTCTGCCCCCTCAATTCTGAGGCCACTTGGGGGCGTGAGTTTAACAGCTTTTCGGAAAGCCCCCATTTCCATAAGGCCTCTCCCCTCCTCCCAGAGCCGAAGGAGCCCCTTGTACAGGGACAGAGGGGAGAGGAGGGAGTCTATCACATGCTGAGAGGGGCAAAGGTCACAGGTGAGGAAAAGGGGAGGGGAGAGGGGCATACTGGGGCCAGCCTGAGGAAAGCCCCCAGGCCAAGAAGAGGCTGACCCCAGCACCGGGAGAGGGCGGGCAGGGGGCAGGCTGGGGAGTTGGGGGCGAGTTTGAGGGCTGGGTTTATTTTATTGTATTTTGCCTCCAGCAAGGGGCCGGAGACACTCTTTCCCGGGGGAGACAAAAGACCTGCAGTCGTGGCGTCCCGCCCCGCTGGGAGGGCGGTTCACCCCCAGAACTCAGTATCCCCAGGCAGAGGCGTCTGGTCACTCTGACCTGGAGAGCGGAGAGCGAGGAGAGCACAGAACGGCGGGACCTCTGATCACCCTGCCCCCATTCCTCACCCATTAATTGGGGCATCCTCCTCCCAAATCCACCAGCAGAGGAGCTCAGAATTCATGATCTCAGGGTGGTACCAAGTCCTGACTGCTCCCACCCCTTGGGACCCCCAGATCTTGGGCGCACACTTGCTGTTTAGCCTCAGGGCACCGACTACCTGCTGGAGAGGGGTTCTGGGTGTG